TGGAGACTCGCCCGGTTTTTCGGTGAAAGAATAAAACAGGGAGGGCTGAGGAAAAAAAAAAAATAAGAAAAAAGAGAGATGCAGAAGTGGTGTGGTCCTTGGAAGCAGCATCACCCTGATGGCTGGGGACCGTGGGTGGGTAGGGAGCACGGGGACCCACGTTAAGGTCTCCACATCTCCAGGGTGATTTGAGCTCATTTGTGCTGGCGTTTCATTTGGCAGCCACTTCATTTGGTTGAGTTGAATTTCTGGATGCAGAAAATATTGGGAGCCCCTTTTCTGCTTCCCCTGCACAGGCAGGAGGGGTTTCCACAGAGGGATTTCTCCTGCGTGGGGGTATGCCACGAGGCATCCGAAATGTTTAGTGGGGGAGGAGTTCAGCAAATGGCCCTTTCTGGTAGAATTTGGGGTTTTTTTATGTGATAGGACCGGAGCAGAGGGGCACTGACATCAGGGAAGAAAGAAAAACTGAAGTCCCAGGCTCGTGGAGCAAATCGAGAGCTTAAAAAAATATCGAAATGCATTTTTGTGCGTTTTTTAATGTTATAAAAAAATTAATTTCAATGTGAAAATTCATCTGTTCAGACAAAGGAAAATGTAAGGCTTAGTGAAACTCTAGAAAGCCACTCCTCAGGCTGCGGTGGGGGTGTTTTTCCTTGCCCTGCCTGTCCCCGACCGCTTGGGTAGGTTTGGCAAAGATTCACAGCGCCTTGTTGGACGCGAGTCTGCATTTTTTTTTTTCAGAGCAGAAACCTCTCCAGCCAAAAAACCGTCTCTCTGCTCTCGTTTTTGGGTTAAATCCTCAAGGATCTGTGTCCTTTCCCCTTGCAGCCGGGGGGTGCAGCCCCGATGCTGCTGTGGGTCCTCGGAAGGATGCTCCCAGTGTGTGCTGCTGGTGGGATGGAAAGTAGACCTGGGATTTGGGGTGGGATACGAGGCCACGGCGGTGCAGGGGGATCCTCCTGAAGGTTTCCAGCAGGCAGGGTGAGGAATATTGTTCACAGCAGGGCTCTGCTCACACAAGGTCACCACGATGTGTCCCTTGACATCATGCACAGTCCAGGCTGTCACCCTCGGCTGCTCCTCACTGCTCCTCACTGCCTTTTGCCCCGTAGCCAGGAGTTAATCCCGCCCTTGGGCTTGCTCCTAAGACTTAGAGATGAAGCCTCTCCTGTTTCCAGCCTTAAAGCTGAAGTTCCAGTCTCAAAGCCTGAAGTTCCTCCTCTGAGACTCAGGAGGTGCTTCTCCCACCCGTGTGCCCATGGTGCTGGGTGTGGGGTGAAGCAGGGGCTCAATCCCGGTTATTTAGGATCGGAGCAGCCGCCAGAGGGTTTCTCTGGTGTTTCTCCCCACACTCAGCAGATGACCCGGTGTTGAAGTACACACTTACTGGCTTTTGTCAATAGATGCTGGTTACAAAGATGTGAGCAGCTCCAAGTCCTCAGGCATGCAATTACCCCCTGTTTGGATAGAGCCAAGGACTTAAATTGCTCTAAGGTGGCTTAAACACTTATGCTCTTCTGCACACTCAAAGTGCCTTAAATCTTTATAGATTTTTATCATGAACACTTGAGCTACCATAAGGGTTGTTTGAAAGATGACTGAAATGAAGAAAAAAAAAGCAGGCTTCTTTATATTTTTTTTTCTTTTTAAATAGAATAGGCATAGACATAGAATCTCCGTGATTGGAAGGGGTCTTTGAGATCATCAAGTCCAATGAAAAAGCGAAATACTGATGATGAGCAAAAGGGTGCTCACTTCTCTGTGTGTAGCTGTGGCTCTTGGGTTGCCGTGGGGAAGTGGGATGAGCTGGTGGCTCCTTGGGATCCCTGCTCTGCTGGGATGAGCTGGTGTCTCCTAGGGATCCCTGCTCCACCGGGATGAGCCGGTGGCTCCTTGGGATCCCTGCTGTGCTGGGATGAGCTGGTGGCTCCTTGGGATCTCTGCTCTGCTGGGATGAGCTGGTGGGTCCTTGGGATCCCTGCTGTGCTGGGATGAGCTGGTGGCTCCTTGGGATCCCTGCTCGGCCACTTGAGCTTATTGCTTCCTCCCGGCGTGGAGACTCGCCCGGTTTTTTGGTGAAAGAATAAAACAGGGATGGCTGAGAAAAAAAAAAAAATAAGAAAAAAGAGAGATGCAGAAGTGGTGAGGTCCTTGGAAGCAGCATCACCCTGATGGCTGGGGACCGTGGGTGGGTAGGGAGCACGGGGACCCACGTTAAGGTCTCCACATCTCCAGGGTGATTTGAGCTCATTTGTGCTGGCGTTTCATTTGGCAGCCACTTCATTTGGTTGAGTTGAATTTCTGGATGCAGAAAATATTGGGAGCCCCTTTTCTGCTTCCCCTGCAGAGTCAGGAGGGGTTTCCACAGAGGGTTTTCTCCTGCGTCTGAAATGTTTAGTGGGGGAAGAACTCAGCAAATGGCCCTTTCTGGTAGAATTTGGGGCTTTTTTATGCGATAGGGCCGGAGCAGAGGGGCACTGACATCAGGGAAGAAAGCAAAGTCTAAGTCCCAGGCTCGTGGAGCAAATCGAGAGCTTAAAAAAATATCGCAATGCATTTTTGTGCGTTTTTTAATGTTATAAAAAAATTAATTTCAATGTGAAAACTCATCTGTTCAGACAAAGGAAAATGTAAGGCTTAGTGAAACTCTAGAAAGCCACTCCTCAGGCTGCGGTGGGGGTGTTTTTCCTTGCCCTGCCTGTCCCCGACCGCTTGGGTAGGTTTGGCAAAGATTCACAGCGCCTTGTTGGACGCGAGTCCGCATATTTTTTTTTTCAGAGCAGAAACCTCTCCAGCCAAAAAAACGTCTCTCTGCTCTCGTTTTTGGGTTAAATCCTCAAGGATCTGTGTCCTTTCCCCTTGCAGCCGGGGGGTGCAGCCCCGATGCTGCTGTGGGTCCTCGGAAGGATGCTCCCAGTGTGTGCTGGTGGTGGGATGGAAAGTAGAGCTGGGATTTGGGGTGGGATACGAGGCCACGGCGGTGCAGGGGGATCCTCCTGAAGGTTTCCAGCAGGCAGGGTGAGGAATATTGTTCACAGCAGGGCTCTGCTCACACAAGGTCACCACGATGTGTCCCTTGACATCATGCACAGTCCAGGCTGTCACCCTTGGCTGCTCCTCACTGCTCCTCACTGCCTTTTGCCCCGTAGCCAGGAGTTAATCCCGCCCTTGGGCTTGCTCCTAAGACTTAGAGATGAAGCCTCTCCTGTTTCCAGCCTTAAAGCTGAAGTTCCAGTCTCAAAGCCTGAAGTTCCTCCTCTGAGACTCAGGAGGTGCTTCTCCCACCCGTGTGCCCATGGTGCTGGGTGTGGGGTGAAGCAGGGGCTCAATCCCGGTTATTTAGGATCGGAGCAGCCGCCAGAGGGTTTCTCTGGTGTTTCTCCCCACACTCAGCAGATGACCCGGTGTTGAAGTACACACTTACTGGCTTTTGTCAATAGATGCTGGTTACAAAGATGTGAGCAGCTCCAAGTCCTCAGGCATGCAATTACCCCCTGTTTGGATAGAGCCAAGGACTTAAATTGCTCTAAGGTGGCTTAAACACTTATGCTCTTCTGCACACTCAAAGTGCCTTAAATCTTTATAGATTTTTATCATGAACACTTGAGCTACCATAAGGGTTGTTTGAAAGATGACTGAAATGAAGAAAAAAAAAGCAGGCTTCTTTATATTTTTTTTTCTTTTTAAATAGAATAGGCATAGACATAGAATCTCCGTGATTGGAAGGGGTCTTTGAGATCATCAAGTCCAATGAAAAAGCGAAATACTGATGATGAGCAAAAGGGTGCTCACTTCTCTGTGTGTAGCTGTGGCTCTTGGGTTGCCGTGGGGAAGTGGGATGAGCTGGTGGCTCCTTGGGATCCCTGCTCTGCTGGGATGAGCTGGTGTCTCCTAGGGATCCCTGCTCCACCGGGATGAGCCGGTGGCTCCTTGGGATCCCTGCTGTGCTGGGATGAGCTGGTGGCTCCTTGGGATCTCTGCTCTGCTGGGATGAGCTGGTGGGTCCTTGGGATCCCTGCTGTGCTGGGATGAGCTGGTGGCTCCTTGGGATCCCTGCTCTGCTGGGATGAGCTGGTGGCTCCTTGGGATCCCTGCTCTGCTGGGATGAGCTGGTGGCTCCTTGGGATCCCTGCTCTGCTGGGATGAGCTGGTGGCTCCTTGGGATCCCTGCTCTGCTGGGATGAGCTGGTGGCTCCTTGGGATCCCTGCTCTGCTGGGATGAGCTGGTGGCTCCTTGGGATCCCTGCTCTGCTGGGATGAGCTGGTGGCTCCTTGGGATCCCTGCTCTGCTGGGATGAGCTGGTGGCTCCTTGGGATCCCTGCTCTGCCAGGATGAGCTGGTGGCTCCTTGGGATCCCTGCTTTGCCGGGATGAGCCGGTGGGTCCTTGGGATCCCTGCTCTGCTGGGATGAGCTGGTGGCTCCTTGGGATCCTTGCTTTGCTGGCATCAGCTGGTGGGACCCCTGGGAGCATCTCACCAGCCTGAAGCCAGTGCCCCCACAATGCTGCCCATTACTCCCCGTGGGGGGAGATCCATGCCGAACAAGCCCAGCTGCCTGAACACACTCCCCGGTGCTCGTTCCCTGCCTCATTGCTCTTATTCTGCCCCGGTGCCTGCTTTCATGCTCTCTGGACCAACCCATTTCCAAGCCATCGCATTAAAAGCCTTAATTCATTTGTCATGTGCACATGAAGTGGCGTTCTAGATAAAAGCAGTTCGTGCGGCAAAGGAGATTGGCTTAAATTTTGCAACAGCCGAGAGCCTTTTACTGCCTTGTGTGAGTCGTGCCTCGCACCAGGGAGACAGCTGAGATTATTATTATTTTTTTTCTTGGAGGGTGTTATATTTGCAGGTCGGGGCTGCCCCGTTACCGCCGTGCCCCGCCAGGTTGAATCCCTATTGCGGGCAGGGGTTGGAAACTGGGAAGGGACTGGGAAAGCAGGCCGGGGTGGGGGTGTTTTTGGGAAGACTAAGCCCCCGTGTCTGTGCCCGGCAGATGTCATGGCGCCCGCAGTACCGCAGCTCCAAATTCCGGAATGTCTACGGGAAGGCGGCCAGCCGGGAGCACTGCTTCGACGGCATCCCCATCACCAAGAACGTCCACGACAACCACTTCTGCGCCGTCAACGCCCGCTTCCTCGCCATCGTGACGGAGAGCGCCGGCGGGGGCTCCTTCCTTGTCATCCCCCTCGAGCAGGTAGGAGCTTTAGGCCCCGTCTGGAGCCAGTCCCCGAGTGCGGGTCTGTGGATGTCACCCTCCATCGGGGGTGTTGGTGGACAGCTGGATGAACATGAGCCAGCAGTGTGCCCAGGTGGCCAAGAAGGCCAACGGCATCCTGGCCTGTGTCAGGAACAGCGTGGCCAACAGGAGCAGGGCAGTGATGGTGCCTCTGGACTGGGCACTGGTGAGGCCTCACCTCGAGGGCTGGGTTCAGTTCTGGGCCCCTCACTACAAGAAGGACATTGAGGGGCTGGAGCGTGTCCAGAGGAGAGCCACCAAGCTGGGGAGGGGTCTGGAGAACAAGTCACACCAGGAGAGGCTGAGGGAACTGGGCATATTGAGTTTGGAGAAGAGGAGGCTGAGGGGAGACCTCATTGCCCTCTACAGCTCCCTGAAAGGAGGGTGTAGAGAGGTGGAGGTTGGCCTCTTCTCCCAAGGGAATAATGCCAGGAGCAGAGGAAACGGTCTGAAGTTGGAGCAGGGGAGGTTTAGATTAGATATTGGGAAGAATTCCTTTCCTGAGAGGGTGGTCAGGCACTGGAACAGCCTGCCCAGGGAGGTGGTGGAGTCACCATCCCTGGAGGTGTTTAAGAAACGTGTAGATGTGGCACTTCAGGGCATGCTCTAGTGCCTGAGATTGTTGGGTTGGGGTTGTTTTTTGTATGTGTGTGTGTGTGTGTATGGTGGGACTTGATGATCTCAAAGGTCCCTTCCAACCGTGAAGATTCTGTGATTCTGTGATCCTGGGAATCCCCTCGTGCAGCAGGATGTGTCGAAGCCTTTTCTCTCCTTCCTTTCCTTGTGCAGGGAAGGGAGAATTTACAGTTGCCTCAGGGAGCTGCTTTTTTTTTTTTCTTTAGGAAGAAAATGAAACATTCATTAAAAGCTTCTCTTTGCTCTGGTATTTTTGGCGTCTCTTGGTGAGCACGTGCTGGGCATGTCTCCATCCTGCTCCTTCGTGGTGGCAGAGGCCGCTGGGGTTTGTGACCCCAGAATTTCACCGACACAGCCCCCCAAAAGCTGGGGAGTCCACGTGGAGCCCCTGGTCCTGCCCAGCAGGTAGCCACCCTTGCCCTTTATTTCTGCTAGTCCATATAATCTCAGCCCTCAAGTTTCACAGCCCAGAAATTTGCAGAACCCGGGGGGATTTTGCTTTGTGCCCCTCCAGCAGATGCCACCTCGCTTCAGATTTATTTTTAAGCCTCCATCACCAAAATGCAGCCCCTTAGAAGCAGCCAGGGCCCAGGAGCCGTGGGCTGTGCCCTCTCCATCCTGTTTGCAGCACCTCCCCACCGCGCTGTGCTTTTGCTAAGACCTTCCCCGGCTCTTTGCACGGGTGCCCCCGTGAAATCTGCACATCTCTTGCCATTTTAACTTCCCAGAAATTCAGCTGATGCTTCAGGAGCTGCCCTGGGGGACGGTGCTTGGTGTGCAGAGCGTGGTGCCAGGCAGAGCTGAGTCTCGGGGAGGAAGAGCCGGGCAGCAGCGACCTTGAACATGAAATAAATATTGCCTTTGCTTTGCTTTGCTCCCAAAACCTGGGCGGTGGGCACTGTCAGTTGCACTGATGCTCTCCTGGTGGTGCTCCAGTGTGTGGTACCCACATCCCATCCCTGGGCATCCTGCCCTCACGGTTGCCCCAATGCTCTCCTGCTGCTGCTCCAGCGTGTGGTCCAGCAGCTCCAAGCTGGCACCCACATCCCATCCCTGGGCATCCTGCCCTCACCCCACAGCTTTTGGGCTGCAGGAGGGGACACGGGGCTCCAAATCATTCATTCTGAGAAGCATTTTTGACATGGGAGGAGCTGCTCGCTCCCCTCAAGGATGCTCTGACCCCACGGCACTTGAAGACACACCATGTGTAAGGACACACGACACGCACGGGGAGAAGATGGTTGTCTCTTGGGCGGCCTTTCTCTTTAATTTCTGGAGTAGAATCAGCTACAGATGGAAGAAATTATAATCAGCGTTTTAATTGCAGCGCTCAGCTTGACTCCTATTAATATTCGGAAAACCAGGAGCTTTGTCTGAGCACGGGGAGGGCTCCAGCCTCCATCTCTGCTTCCCTCCCCTGGCCACCGAGCCCGAGCCGGGAGGATGCTCGTCCACACACCACTTGCTCCTGGTCCTAAATCCTGAGCTAAAAACTGGTGTCGCCATCAAATTACTTTTTTTTTTTTTCTGGCAAACGCTGTCTGGCCCCAGCGGGGTGAGAGCAGAGGGAGTGTGATACCGTTCACAGCCTGTTCCGAAGGGATCCTCAGCCCCGTGAGGAAATCCTGGCACTATCACACCCAACAAACCCCGGCTCCCTCCCCCGGCCACCGAGCCGGGAGGATGCTCATCCACACACCACTTGCTCCTGGTCCTAAATCCTGAGCTAAAAACTGGTGTCACCATCAAATTACCATTTTTTTTTTCTGGCAAACGCTGTCTGGCCCCAGCGGGGTGAGAGCAGAGGGAGTGTGATACCGTTCACAGCCTGTTCCGAAGGGATCCTCAGCCCCGTGAGGAAATCCTGGCACTATCACACCCAACAAACCCCGGCCGGAGCTGACCCTGGCACTCCGTGTCAAGTGGCTGCACGCCCCTTTGTACAATCTAATAATTTAATTTTTTATCTTTTTTTTTTTTTCAAATAGGGACTGATTAGCTCATTAAGAGTAAACTAATTTTCTTTGGAAATCAGCAGCCCTCTAATTAATTGGCATCCATATTTAGCCGAACATAATTAAGGTAACCTAGATACTGCAGATCTACTCAGGACTTGATTTGCTGCCATCTTTTTTTTTTTTTTTTTTAAATTTTTTTACATTTCTGCCCTCTGTTCTGCTCAGAAACGTTCACCAGAAACCCCTCTGCTTTATTCTTCGAGTGACAATGCATTTGCATACGCCGGGCCATATGTTCCTCACAGTTTTACGTAGCGATGGAGGGGATGGCAAGATGGAGAACGGCTGCCTTTTGTCCCCCCGTTCTCCTTGAGCCCTGTCCCCCCCGCCCCACACTGCAGTGGAGCTGGGGCAGGATCCTCTGCCACTGGGAACCAGCTTCTCCCCAGCCCCGCAATGGTTTTGTGCCATGAAAATCCCTGGAGAGTGGATGAAGGAGAGCTTGTGTGCTGGGTCTGGGACTGGAAAAAGATGGTTTGGTCCCCAAACCATGGTGACAGAAGGATCTCTCCGTGCTTCAGAGCCTGGAGAGAGTCCAGAGGAGGCTATGAAGATGTTGAGGGGCTGGAGCATCTCTGTGCTGAGGAAAGGCTGAGGGACCTGGGGCTGTTCAGCTGGAGAAGAGCAGACTGAGAGGGGACCTCATGGATGCTGAGCAATAGCTAAAGGTCGGGGGGCAAGAGGATGGGTTCAGTCGCTTCCCAGTGGTGCCCAGTGACAGGACAAGGGGCAACAGGCACAAACTGGGACATGGGAAATTCCATCTGAACATGAGGAGGAACTTCTTTACTTTGAGGGTGGCCAGAGCCCTGGAACGGGCTGGATTTGGGCTCCATTTTTAAAAAAATCCATGCAAAAATCCCAGAAACATCGGGAATGGTGTGTCTACATTATTTTTTTTTTTAGTGGGTAACGTGCTTAGTTGGGAGAAGCTGAAATCTCACATTTTACGGCCCAAACAGCAGCGTATTCCCCAGGGCTGCAGGTCCTTTAACCCCAGGGCTGGACTCCAGTGTCACCATCAGCATCATCCACGGCACAAAGTCACCCCTGGAGGAGCCTTCACCTCTTCTGGGCTTTCCAATGCTCCAGGGGGCATTTTGTGGCATTTCCAGGCTATTATCCATAACAGTGAGGCATTTCTGTTCCTCTGGAAGGGAAGCCATGGTTCCCACATCCACGTGAGACCCCCAGGTCACTGTGGGGCACATCCTTAGTCCCCACTCTCCCCTCCTGGGGGCTTCCCATCCCTGAGCTGTTGCCTTCAGCTTGGCTCTGTTTAGCCTCCCAAATGCTTTAGCCTTATCCAAACGTGTGGGGAGCCCAGGGAAAGGGACAAAATACATGTTTTTTTTTTAAAAAAAAGATATTACACTTGTAGCCCCGAAGCCTGAGGGCTGCTCTCCTCCCCAGTCCCAGGATGGTTTTGGAAGCAATTATTAAATAAATTAATAAAAATCCACACTGGTGTGTTTGTGCTGTAGCTCACCCGCAACAACTAGCCCCCAGGAAGCTCAGAGAACCCCATGTGCTCCCAAAACAGCCGGGGAAAACCAAGCCCCATCATTATGTGGGTCCATCTCAGCTGTGCCTGGTTTAGGTGGGGACATATAAAGGGGGCTGGAGGGGGGAGGATGGGTTGTGCTGCAGCTTGCTGGGGTGGTGAGATGCTGTGGGGGCCCCTTAGGGCTGCTTTTGCAGGAGGAGGAGGGGTTGGAGTTGTGCATACCACAACAGGAGGGGTTTTTGTTTCCCTGGGGATGGAGATAGCCTGTTTTCCCCAGGCAGACAATGTTATCTGCCCGGGCACCTGAAGGAAGCAGCCAGCAGGAAGGGGGAGTCTCTGTTTACATGTTGGAAGCTGAAGGCCAAGGTTGTTGCTCCTGCCAGTGCTGCCTGTCGTGGTTGTGTCTGAGCTGCTGGAGCTGCCTGAGGTATGGGGCTGAGCGTGGGGCAGGTCCCTCACCCCACTGTGGGTGATGGATAGATGGATGGATGACCATGACATTCCTGTTGGTAGTCCTCATGGAGGTCCCAGACCTCCAGGACAGCCCATGGAGATCCCAAACCTCCATTCCAGCACTTGGAAGTGCTAGATCTGCTGTTAATCCCTACAGAGGCCCAGACCTCCAGGGCAGCCCATGGAGATCCCAAACCTCCGTTCCAGCCCTTGGAAGTGCCAGATCCGTTGCTGATCCCTACAGAGGCCCAGACCTCCAGGGCAGCCTGTGGAGGTGATGGACCCATTGCTAATCCCCATGGAGATGCAAGACCTCCAGGGCAGCTCATGGAGGCGCTGGACCC